GGGAGCGAGGGGGGCGGAGGAGGAAAGTTTGGGAGCGGGCGGGCTGGCGCAGCGGGGGCGCAGAGCCCGATGGAGGGCCCCGGCGGGCCGCGCGCCGGGCGGGAAGCAGATTGATGAGGCCGGAGAAGTCGCCGCCGCCACAGCAGTAGCCGCGCACCCAGCCAGCAGTCGCCGCGGACCGGGCTCGAAGGCCGCTCGGCTGAGGGATTGACAGGCTGCCAGTGCCACTCACTCACTGCGGCCCCGGCGCCCGGGGGGAGGGGCGGGGGTGAGCCAAGAGGGCGGGGGAGCGCGTCCGCACGCCCCGCCCCCGGGGGCGGTGCGCGCTCTCATTGGACCTTGAACCTCCCGCCAATGCCACTGGCACCGCCCCCGTAGTTCGGCCCGCCTCCGCCCCCTGCTGAAGGGCTCGCCGCGGGATTCGAACACCCGCGTCGCGTTGTCGTCCCCTCATCGACCGTCGCCGCTCTCAAACGTTAAGCTTCCGCCCCGGCTCCAGCTCCATAATGTTAGAAGTCTGAAGTGCGGGGGCGGGGGCGTCGTGTGTGGAAGCCGGAGCAACTCGCTCCAAAGCCAACCAAGTGCTTCCCCTCAGCGCCTGTGAGCTTCACGCCTCGGACAGCGCCTGGTACACTTTCCCGCTTTTCCTGTCAGGAGGTGGTACCCTCAGAGTACACGGCGCTTGTCCGGGCCAATCGCATCGCGCTTGAAGCTGAATGGGTGGGTCAGAGGCAGGAGAGAGCTGTCCCAATTGGAGTGTTCGAAATCTCTTGGGTTGAGGCGGGGAAGGAGGAGATGGTGGCACAGCCCCTTCCGCGATCACCTTAGTAACCGAGAGGGCGCTGCTCGGAGGTGGCGTGCGTGGGCCTTGCACTGTTCCTCAAGGGCGACCAGTTAAATGTGGGAACTTGTCCCACCGAAGTTTGACGTCTGAGCTGATCGGATGTGAATGCCATACTCTCTTTCTTTAAAGAGGAGCGTACGAGACCATGTTAAAGCGCAGCGGGTCTGGGAGGTGGGAAAGAGCTTCAAGTCCAGGGCTAACTTCACGGCCTACAACTCTTTACACGCTCTGCAACTCCTGGTAATTCAGGGACTACTCTTTTGGCAGTTTGCTTTTAGCTGCTTCCAGATGTACAAACGGGCCCTTCATACCAAGGACAAGTTTGTTTGGGGATAGACTGTATTCTCTTGTCAACTTTCCCCATCACCATGAGTTCGTTGAATGTTGGTGACTCCTGCCCCAGATTTTCGTGTCTATAAGACCTCTCATTCCATTGTACTCTGTCTACAAGTGACTAAAGGCATCACATTGCTTTGGGATCTGCACTTCCACCTCTTGTGGACACTTAAGCTTGCTCTTAACCTGATTTCCAAACAGGAGCTTCGACATCTGTTTTCTCCATTTTGGATTCATGGATCCCACCTGGTTAGGTGATCTTGAAAAGTCTCCTTGTTCTGTTCCCAAACTCAGTAAGCTGTCTTACCTGAAACCAAAAATAGGGGTATGAGGATATGAAAAATGGTTCTTACTCTGCAGGGTTTAATGTAGGACAAGCAGTTCTTTAAATGCCAGATGGATTCTTGGAAAGAAGCAGGCTACTCAGTTCCAGGTTCTTTCCTTCATATGTTGTGTGTACTTTTAAATACTCCCTACTGCAAAGCTAATAGCTAACCTTACAGTTAGGCAAGCTAAAATCCTTACAAACTGCACAGCTGCTGAGAAGGGAATTCCAAACAATCCACTCTGTTTACTTACCTTGGAAGAAGATCCCCCTCACATTCATTAATGTTCCCTATTCTTCTATACCTCTTTATACATCAAGTTTATAATTCTACTTTCAAGCCGCCCATTATGAGTTACTCGTGTCATCATTGATTGGGTTTTCTCTTTATTCTTAACCTGTTTTTCAAAGCTTGTTTTTCAAATCCTTACTCATTTTTGCATAAAGGGACAAGAGCAAGCAGCAACCTTTTATAATTCTTCAACAGTGAGGACATAAAAGCACAGAATTCTATCTGAAAGATGCCTTAACTCTAAGATTCCTTCCAGCTCTAAAATTCAATGATCCTGTGACTCACTATCAGGCCTCCTCCCCTGCCCTCCTTCTAGGCTCATAATCTTGACTAATCAGTCATGAGGATGAGGCTAATTAGCAATGGGGATTTATGGTTATTTCTAGCCCACTGCAAACAATGAGTTATGTAAGCAAAGCAACATATATAAAATTGTAAATAAAATCAAAGAAACATTTAAGCAAATATAGGCAATTGGGAACTATGGGCTATGTAAACAAACTGAAACATAAAACATAAATTAGAATTAAGAAAACAATTAAGAAAATGCCAGCAATTAGGAATAAAGCAACTTGTTAAATGTCTAACACCCACAGCTATTTTATGGTACACACCTCTATACCCGTGGTCACTCAGTGATGCAGAAACTTGATGCCATAATTCTGCATTAACCAGCTGGATTAGATTACCTTCTGCTTGGGAGGCTTCTCTTTTTGTTATTATCAATACGAGTTGCAGCAAAAGACAGAGAGTCCAAGCAAGGATTCCCTCATAGGCTCATTGACAACTGCCATTGATTTAAAGCATAAATTCTTTTAGATTGGTGTCCAAACCCCAATAAACAGTGTCAACTAATTGCATATCCTCCAAGATCTCTTGAGCATTTGCCATTTTCTCATGTAGGATGCTGCTTTGCTTCTGCTCAACAATCTGAGTCATATGGTTGGTGCCTTCACAAATAATAGAACGGAACCTTCCTAAGTACCTGGATCCATCTTTACTATTTCTAAGGCAGTGACTATTATAAAGTCAAGGAAAATGTCATTTACTTTTGGTGAGTGTACATGCAAGTAATGTTAACAGTGACAAAGTTGTGAAACCGAAGTCAGGGCTTCCTCATATCCAGATCTGTCCATGGGTTTATATTAACATCATCATCTATCATCACTGTAGCAATCATAACAGCAAATGCCATTATCGAGCACTTTCTTGGGGTAGGACACTGTGACCTGTGTTTCTCTTACTTCATCTTATTTCAGTCTCATAACAACCCTAGCTAAGTGGGATCATTATCATACAAGGAAGCAGAACCAGAAAGAGTAAGGAACTTGCACAAGACCACAAAGCCAGCAAGTACGTAAATTCAAATCTTGATCTGTGTGGCTGCAAAGCTAACCCTCTGAAACACTGGCAAAAAAAAAAAAACAATTAATCAAGATTCCTAAATAAAGACCACAAGACTTAGTAGGTGAACTACTGTAAATTAATGAAAATAAGTAACTAGGTGCTTAATAAAAAAAAGGATGAACAAGGACTGTATTGTATGAGATCTCTATTGTAAAAACCCATGAAAAAGTTCACACACAAAACGTAACAATCTTTGTTGGTTACCAGGGATGGGAGGGGTGGGGGGGAAATACTAAATAGGCAATAGATAAGTGGTATCTTGGGTGAAGGGTGAGACAGTACACAATACAAGAGAAACTAGCACAACTTGTACAAGAAAAGATCATGGAAGCCCCATAGACACATCCAAACTCCCTGAGGGACTGAATTGCTGGGCGGAGGGCTGTGGGGACCATGGTCTCGCGGAACATCTAGCTCAATTGGCATGACACAGCTTATAAAGACAATGCTCTATATTCCACCTTGGTGAGTAGTGTCTGGGGTCTTAAAAGCTTGTGAGCGGCCATCTAAGATACTCCACTGGTCTCATCCCTTCGGAAGCAAGGGAGAATCAAGAGAACAGGATACAAGGAAAAGATTAGTCCAAAGGACTAATTGTCCACAGCTACCAAGGCCTCCGCCAGACTGAGTCCAGTACAGCTAGATGGTGCCCGGCTACCACCACTGACTGCTCTGACCAGGATCACAACAGAGGGTTCTGGACAGAGCTGGAGAAGGATGTAGAGCATAATTCTAACTCACAAAAAAAAAGACCAGATTTACTGCCCTAAAGGAGACTGGAGAAACCCCGAGAGTATGGCCCCCAGACACCCTTTTAGCTCAGTGGTGAAGTTATCTCCAAGGTTCACTATTCAGCCTGGGAGTGGACAGCCCTGTAAAACCAAATGAGACTAACGAGGTGCAGGAGTCCAGTGACAAGGGCCAGAAGGCAGAAGGGGACAAGGAAGCTGGTGTTAGGGAACCCAAGTTTGAGTAAGGATATTGTTGATGTGCTGTGAGATTGTTAACCATTGTCATAGGGCAACATGTGTAGAAACTGTTAAATGAGAAACTATTTTGTTCTGTAAGCCTTCATCTTAAGTGAGAATAACAGCACAATTGGAAGAGCGTAGTCAATGTCACCGAACTGTGCTGTAGAGATTTTGGAAATGGTGTATCTTTGGCTATGTGTATTTTCACCAAAAAAAAAAAGACTGAGAAGTTAGAGGGTTGACATGTTGTGGGGTTGTTAACCAATGTCATAAAACAATATGTGTACTACTGTTTCATGAGAAACTATTTGTTCTGTAAGCCTTCACCTG